AGTGGCTGGTACTGACTAGGATGCAAACTGGTGGCCATATTGGATGTTGGTATGGCAGGTGGTAGCTTAACCTGCACCACAACACTGGTCACTAATGTGCCCTCTCACTAGGTTGTTTCAAGTTATGTTTTCTCTGGAAAGTTTCCTCGAATTTTTCTTAAGTTTCTTAATTAAGTGCTTTGATTTGCTTTTTCATGAAATTCTATTATACGTATGTGGCATCCATTGTGCCTCACTTCTCTACTTAGCAGTTGTCTGAAATTCTTTTACTATCTTTTTTAATTTCAGATTTTAGTTTCCAATTTCCCTTTATATTTTTTGTTTCTCTTAGGATATTATTGCATTTTTATTCTAGTATTTTGTCCAAGTTCACTTTCATTTTTTTTAAAGATTTATTTTACTTGAAAGAGTTACACAGAAAGAGAAGGCAGAGAGGGAGGGAGGGAGAGAGGGAGAGGGAGAGAGAGAGAGAGGGAGAGAGAGAGAGAGTGTGTGTGTGTCTTCCATCCACTGGTTCACTCCCCAGTTGGCCACAACGGCTGGACCTGCACTGATCTGAAGCCAGGAGCCAGGAGCCAGGAGCTTCCTCCGGGTCTCCCAAGCAGGTGCAGGGGCCCAAGGACTTGGGCCATCTTCTACTGCTTTCCCAGGCCACAGCAGAGAGCTGGATCAGAAGTGAAGCAGCCAAGTCTCGAACCGTTGCCCATATGGATGCCAGCACTGCAGGCTACGGCCTCACCCACTACGCCACAGCGCCGGCCCCTCACTTTCATTTCTGAAATGATATTCTAATTACTTACTAAGTTCTATTACCTAATTTCTGAGCTTCTCTAATTCTTATCTATGTTTTATATCTTTTATCACTTTACAATGATTTTAACTCCTTCAAAATATTAGTTTTCTTCTGCTTTGCGAGACCTGTCTTTCTACATTGCTTTTTTCTTTATGAGGATATTATTCTGCCCTTTCTCCTCTTTTTCATTATTTTAAATTCTTTCTTTGATTTTTGTCTTGATTTAAATCAGTCTTGTGAACTATTTTTTTCCGAATGTTATCTCATGGCTTTGTTTCTTTTGAAGCCTCAAAAGTAAAGCGGTGTTCTTTGTGTTATTCCCTTGTTCTCTTTTCCTTCCACTTCTTGCTAACTTGCTCCTTTGTTTCATTGCTGTTTTCCCTGATTTGCTTAGATTGGAAATCCTTGTCACCTGTTTTCCCTTTAGTGGCATGGTGGGGCCGAGGAGAGGGTTGTCTGGCAAGGGCACTCTGCCTGGTTGATGTTGAGAGCTGACTAGATCCCTACGGTCTGAGTTCCCAGGACCACTCCATGAACCCCTATATTCACCTGCCTTTGGAGTATGCAAAACCAGATCTCAGCTGCCATTTTCCATTGTGGTGATATCGCGGCAGTCAGCTACCCCATTTCTACCTTCCTCTGTTCCCTGTCAATTGCTGATGTCATACAGGTCCTCTAGCAGCTTCAGTCATTGGTTCCCACCTCTCATAACTGGGGCTTGTGCTGATAACTTGTCACTTGGTTGCACTGAGCATATTGTCTATGTGGCTTTTCTAAAAGATTATTTATTTGAAAGGTGGAGTGACAAAGAGGGAGAGAGGCAGAAAGAGATCTTCAGTCAACTGGTTCACTCCTCAAATAGCCACAATGACCAGATGTTAGCCAGGACACAACCAGGGGCCTGGCATAGGAACCCCATCCTTGTCTTTCACACTGGGGGACAAAATCCAAGCACTTGAGCCATCTTCCACTGTTCTCCCAGGTACATTAGCAGGGAGCCTGATCAGAAGCAGATCAGCTGGGACACAGGTGCTCCCATACTGGATGCCCATGGAACAGGTGGTGGCTTAGCCCTGTGTACCACAATGCCAGCCTTTCTGTGTATTGTTACATTGTAATGCACAAAGTATTTTTTTTACTTCTATAACCACCTCCTCAGAATCCGAGTTTTTTAAACATCTGAGGCAAGAGAAACAAGCCTGTAGCACTAGGTGTTTTCCCCAGAGGTTTTGTCACTCCTTCCCAACCTTTGAGAATCAGCACTTAATTTCTTTCAAAAAATTCTTATGAAGCATTGCAGTGGTTTTCTTGTGAACTCTTTACTCTGTTTTTCTAAATAAGAAAAATAAAGTTCATTGAATAAATATACATTTTGCCTCATCAAAGATACAGAGAGAAACAGAAGAGCTGCTGACAATAGGGCTAATAGACCCACTATGGGAAAAATCATCTCAGAAAGGATCAGATCAACCCTGTAACAGAATAAAGGCCCCGAGCTTCAGTATCTGATGAGAGCTGACTAGCCCAGGCCTTGAAGATTATTTATCTCTAGACACGAACTTTGCTTAGGGACTTAAAGTCACAAGTTTCTGGATTTTTCTCAGATTTCATGCAGCTGTGATTTTAAAGTTGTTGTTAATGAGAAAAATATCAAATTATGCTCATTTGAGTTTATTTAAAATAGCTAAAGTATTATCTTTTATGTAAGTAAATTATTACTCATTTATTGAAAGGTTTTATTGATTTAATAATGAATTATAATATTCTGCGGACTGCCATCAAGATTTTATAGGAAATGAATGAGAATTAGAGGATGAATTATTTTCATCATACATATTAGTCTTTTGGGAAATCCTCACATTCAGACATCATCGTCCTAATCCAGGGTTGACCATTTGTCTGCTACAGCAGTTTATAAAAATCCAGTCTTCCTGCTCAGGAAGAACCAAATTACTCTACTGCATTGCGTTTATTATTTGCATGCTCTGTGCCAGACGCAGTAGAAGGTTCTGGATGTCAAGAAAATTAAGATATGGTCTCTCCAAGTAGCCCTTGGAAAAGAATGGATACACATCAATATGTGGACATGTGCAGTGGAAATGTTCGCTAAGAGAGGTGAACATTTTTCATGGATCTGAAATAGTCAGTGGAGGTTCTCAGAGGTGAGATTTGATCTCATTTTGAAGACTGAATCCAAATATTCAGGTCAGGCAAGAGGCCTTGCTGCTAGGGAGAACAAAGGATAATGAGCCCTGCTATTGTAAGGACGGACTGATCTTTAATGGAAATACAGACTTAGCAAGGTACTCGACTAGAAAGTCTACTCTCATAAAAAAAAAAAAGTACAAGAGAATAACCTGTTCGCGTTGGTCATCTCCTTCCCCAGCAAATCCTGAGCTATATAACCTTGATCTTCATCATGAAAATGGTCCAAAATTGATTGACTTTGGGTTTGTTATCCACACATCATTTTCTCACTTCTATAGTTAGGGCATCAATAATATATATTTATATGAATATTCTAGAGAAAAAGATACCCAGGTTTTGTTTGAGGAGTCTTGATCAAATAAATGACCCAGTTATAACTGTGCTTTCCTTTCTTTTTTTTCTTATCCACCACTCCCTCCCCATCTTCCTTGTGGCCAATTCATTGTTCTGTGAACTTCCAATAAATAACCAATAGGAGGAAATAAGAAGAAAGATGAATGTTGAACTTCCTGTAACAGCTAATGCACACAGATAAAGAGAAACTGTCATTTATCACTCATTAGCAGTCCTGGGTCAATTTTGATAAGGTGCACTGTGAAAACATGGCCTGGTTAGGTTGGATTATGTTTGTGGACTTCAGTCACCTATGCTCTCTTCTTCATCTGTTTCCATAGATAATGATTTGCAGGAGAAGGAGTTTTAGTGCTGGGTTTTCAGTACATTGCTTCCTCCAAGTTACTAAACTCTACAAGGCATGAATGATGAATTAGATTCAAAAGGGTATTGGGAAGCCATGTCCAGCAGACTTAAAGACAGAACATAAGCTCTGAGGGAGGAAATTATTAAATTTCATCAGATTACACCCTTATTCCTTTCTGACCTAGGTGCAGACAAATAAGGGATAGAGTATGTAAGAGGATTATTCAAATTACATATTCTGTTGATTTTGTGTATTTTTTTCTTTCTTGTTTGACAACTTAGATTAAGCAGGTATATACAGGGCCTCATATGTATTCACTTGTTTCAGGCATTAATTGATTAATTTATAAAATATAAATTCAGTATAACAGTACTTAGGAGTATGTACCCAGATTGCCTCATTTTATTTCATTGATGAGTCTCTAGGTGATTATTCCTACTCATTAGAGCAAACATTCAAATTAACTCGTTAAAAATAGTAATAAATTATTGGTAAACATCTAGCAAGGGACTCATGTGCAGATAATTAAGAATAATTGCTTGATTTTGGTGGCCCATCATGATTATCTAGAGATAATTTGATACAATTGAATGTAAAATTACTTTACAAGTATTGACAGATTATCCAAGTATGAAATCACATGGATAGCACATGTGTTTCAATGGCCTAAACTTCTAAAATTTACAAGAATGGAATATTTTCATGCATATTTCAGTGCAATCCAGCATCGTCATTTTGATTCTTAGCCAAGATTTGGTGTACTGATTGTGTTCTTACTATGTTATTTGAGTAGGTAAATGAAATAAAATAAATGAGTCCTTTCAGATATACAAATAGTGATTTAGCGTTCTGAATACAGAGACTTTTATTTCTCCTGTGGTTTAAGAACATATGGGCATCTTAAGATGTTGGCATCTGGAATTGTGTGTTGTCCATATATTTAATGGTATTTGTTGAAAAACTGCAATTATAATTTATATCAATAGTTTTTCATTTTTTTAAACATTTAAAGCATTGATCAACTTTGTAGCAGCCTATTTGAGAGTACAGAGTGAGTTTAATTGATCAAAATTTGTCTCCGTGTGCTTACTTATACAAAGGGCTTCAAAATCAGTCTTCAAAATAATGCAGCTCAACAGAGTTGTCGGGGGAACAAAGCACAGCAAATCATGTTTTAACGATCTCAAGTCATTCTCTGTGGATTTTTATATAAATATATATTGATAACTTTAAACATATAATTGTGTATTCTCTACCCCGTAGCTATGGGACTAAGTGCTGGCTCTTTTGTTTTCTTAGTCATGTGACCCCCACGCGACGCAGAGAAGAACCCGCCATCTGCTGAGACCCTCTCCGAATTCAAGGACCTGTGCTGAAGACTCACAGGTGCAACCCTGCCTCCTTAATGAGAACTGCTTCCAGTTCCAGTACAATCTAACAGGTACAGCTGAAATCCACGACCTCACTGTGCCCCCTGAGCACTGATGAATGTGCGAATCTTTGTGTGTTTCACTCTTGGGACAGAGGGACAGAGGGACAGAATGTGTGAGTGAATGACGTGAAAGGCTGAAGACTTGGTATTCCCAGTGTCCTTTCTGAAAAGAAATGCCCAGTCTTTCATGTAGATTCAGCAAGGCCACCTGGAATCTCTGTAGGCAAAGAAGCTTACAGCAAAATTTGGCAGAGTTTCAGAATAATGTGGAATTGAGCCATGATAAACTAAAACAACAAAGTAAGTTGCGAAGGATAAGTTAGCAGGAAGAGGAAAATGTGATTAGACTGTCAGAAAGTTTGGCTCTTCCACAGCGTTGATTATTTCAGAAATTTGAACCCATGGTGCACTTTCTCTATGAGGAAGAATGGTAGCTTGAGCCCTCAGTGATTTTTGAGAGGCTCTGGGAATCACGTTGGCTTATCTATTCAGCCACTTCCCAGGACTCTTGCGAATATGCATGGTAGGCAGCAGATTCTGGCTCAGATACTAGGTTTTCTGTGACACATATGTGAGAATCAGATAGAGTTCCTGTCACCTGGCTTTGTCCTGGCCTAGACCTGGCTGTGGTGGCAGGCATTTAGGAGTGAAAGATGAAATATTTCTCTCTCCCTCTCGCTGCCTCCCTCCCTTCCTCTCTCTTCCCCCTTCTCCCTCCCTCTACCTCCCTTCCTCTCTCTTCCCCCTTCTCCCTCCCTCTACCTCTCTGCCCCTCTCTGTCCCTCTGTCCCTCCCTCTCTCCCTCACCTCTCTTTTCCTGACTCACAATTTTTTTTTTTGCTACCACAAACGAAGCTGATGCTCTTTTATTTAACAATCAGAATTCATGGGAATCATAATATCAGTAAACTAGACTCAAAATCAATGCCATCAACACACTGACATACAATAAATTAGCACTATAGCTGTATTTAACATCTTTAAAACTTCAAAAACATACCTTTTAATTTCTTTTAGTGCCCAAAATAATTTACTCATAAATAAAAGTGATATCTACTTGCAGAATTCCAACAGAAAAATTTCAATATAAATAAACACAATGTTGCAAAGTTCTGAATTTTACAGAGAATATAAACCTTTTTGGTACATAATGTTTTGCCAAGTTGGCTGGAAAGCTAAATCGGTTTGCTTTCCTTTTCACAGTACAAATAAGCATCCACAGTATTAGACTCTGGAAGCTAATGTGTTGGTAAGAAACTGGAAAACAGAATCACTGGAAAAGTGGGGTCTGGTACCATCTACTGAATGACATGCAATATGTTCTTGGGTATTAGCCACTCACCATTTCAAATAAAATAAGTAAACCTTTTTTTCTTAAAAAGAAAAAAAGAAAAAAAAACTTTGATACAAAATAGTTGCAATGTATGCATAGTTCTTTCATAATACACATTTCCTGTTAACTTTTTAAAATATTTTTATTTAAGAAGGAGAGAAAGAGAGAGAGAGAGAGAGCTGGGTCTCCCACATGGGTAGCACAGACCCAACTACCTGAACCACCATCTGCTTGCTGCCTTGCAGGGTACACATTAGCAGGTAGCAAGAATTGGGAGATGAGCTATGATTTGGACCCAGATACTCTGATATGAGATGTACATGTCCTCCTGGCATCTTAACTGCTACACCAAATGCCCATCTCTCCATGAACTTTTTGAGGTGCCGTCATACATAATCAAGTATCTTCCTGTCCAGCAACACCAACAATAAGAGTTTAAGAATCAAATCAATTATGAGATAATTTATCCCAACTCTCCATTGTCTAGTGTGCAGTATGAGGAGCCAAGCCTATAAAACTTTTTCTCATTATGGAATAATTTGAAGAAATTAGAGTTTCTGTATCATTTCATACAAATCTGTATGTCTTTTCCTCCTTCCTGACAGGGCCACCTATTTTAGCTACACTCTATCAAATGTACCAAATGGTTAGTTGACTGGATTTATTGCTTGAAAATGTTGAGTTTTGGCCGGCGCCGCGGCTCACTAGGCTAATCCTCCGCCTTGCAGCGCCGGCACACCGGGTTCTAGTCCTGGTCGGGTCGGCGCGCCAGATTCTGTCCCGGTTGCCCCTCTTCCAGGCCAGCTCTCTGCTATGGCCAGGGAGTGCAGTGGAGGATGGCCCAGGTGCTTGGGCCCTGCACCCCATGGGAGACCAGGAGAAGTACCTGGCTCCTGCCTTCGGATCAGCGCGGTGCGCCGGCCGCAGCGTGCTGGCCGCAGCGGCCATTGGAGGGTGAACCAACGGCAAAGGAAGACCTTTCTCTCTGTCTCTCTCTCTCACTGTCCACTCTGCCTGTCAAAAAAAAAAAAAAAAAAAAAAGAAAGTTGAGTTTTATATCGGAGGCTAGTGTCAGTCCTTTTCAGCTGCCATAACAAATTATCATAGAATGTGTAGTTTATAATCGATAGAAATTAATTTCTCACAGTTCTGGAGTCTGTGTGTATCGCTGTTGCTTCGGATATAGTTTTGTAAAACTGTTTTATATCTATGTCAGACCAGTGGTTAAGAATGCTACACTACTCTAGTTTTAATGATCTGTGATTACTTTAAAGTGTACTGTATATGTGTGAAGTGGTCATTTTTCCATTCAGTAATTGTTTCTAGCTGCTGTCTGTGTTCCTACTTTTTTGCTTTTTACTTGTTAAAACTTCTTATTTGGTGAAGTTTTAACCCTTTTAAATGTCATGTAATTTTAAAATATGTTATCTCAAAAGCTAAAAAGAAAAAAACAAAAGGGGAGGAAAAATGGTGGGAAAGAGAGGGAGAAGGAGGGAGAGAAGGGGGGAGGAAGGGAATGTCATTATGTTCTTAGAATTGTATCCATAAATCACATTGAATCTTAAAAACTAATTAAAATTAAAATAAAAATTTAGAAAAATGACAGAGGAAGGTTGAAAAGTCTAAGATCGAGGTACCAGCAGACCTGCTGGGTTCCCAGTCCTCACAGAAGGCACCCTACTGTGTCCTCGCATGCTGGAAGGAGTAAATAAGCCACTTTTACAATGCCATAAACCACATTCAGGAGGAATCCACTCTCAGAACCTATCCTAATTGCTACCCCAAAGCCCCACCTCCTAATACCATCACCTTGCCAGTTAGGATTCAGATATCAGACCATAACAGCTGACATCTTCTATGCAGTTTCTCTCTCAATCATCCCTTAAAGTGGCTGATTGAAAACCACCTTTCATTTACTGTTCTAGTTAGTGCCTTTCCTCTCCTACCCCAGCCAGCTATGGGATGTTTTCTAACAAATCATTTGTTTTTTACTTCTAGAAAGCAAATATAGGAAGGTTACTCATGCTTCTTTGTCTACTGAGTTTTTTCTTTGTTTGCTGTTTTGCAATAGAATTGCCTGATGCTTTCCAGAACCACTTCAACAAAGTTTTCAGATAATATGTGGCCTCTCCTTCTCTAGCAATGGAGATAACCAAAGATTGGCTGTATTTTGCTTACCTGGGCATTCATTATTTTTGAAACGCTGTGTATGATTCTCTGCCTGCAGAGTGGAGCACGTGCCAGCTGAGTGAAAATGCGACCTGCGGTCAAGGCGTCAGGACCCGCCTGCTAAGCTGTGTGCGCAGTGACGGCAAGACAGTGGACATGGACCAGTGTGAGCAGGTAACTTGTTGATACCTGGATGTCACACCCCGGGTGTTGTTGTTCTTGTGCATCTGCATCCTCCATGAAGTTCCATGGAAACCCTGGCTTCTTCTTATCTTAGCCTAGATCTGTAGATTCAAATAGCATAAAATGGACTCCTACTGGACCTTATTTAAATTTGATCAAAATGACTGGGAAGGGCCATTTTCCTCTTGGGACATGAGTTCATTATAAAAAGCGTGTTTCTCCAACTTTCAACAACTTATGTAAATGCATTTGCTTGCCAATAAACTGCAAACATTGATGACTTGGCTATTTAGATAATAGTATGACTCTTGCATGGGACACGTGATTTATTTGCATATGTGACAAGCACTGTCCCTTCCACATAAGATGGACTGACACTCTGCTAACTTGCTTGACAAATTATCGTTGAACAAATAGAATAGTTGTACTTTTCTTTGAAATGTATGTTAAAATGCCTCCCTACCAAGTTTCAAATTAGTGAGTTACAAATTTTTGTGATCTTATTGCCCTCTCTTTTTTTTCCTGTGATAAATTATATGGAGTTTGGTGAAAGCTTTTGTAGACCTGTTGTGAAGAAGTTCACATTTCTTTCCCAAGGTGTAAATTAAAAACAAAATGTGGCAGTGAAAGAACCTCTGAAATTATTTTTAGAATAGATTGGAAATGTAGCGTCAGTTGATCCAGATTTCCACAGAAATGAACAAACCAGCAAAATGAATTCTGGTCTCAATTCTCCATACATAGGTGAAATACATTAATGACAATTAAAACAAAACCTTCCTCACTTACCCTGTCTCAACCCTTATTATTGTTTCAACATGCTTTCTAGACCAACAGTAGAGTAACCCACACGGATGCCAACTCTGGACCAAACCATATGAAATATCATGTCGCATTTGGTGAAATTTTGAAACTGCCTAATACAGAGCAGAGTGCTGCCTGCCAAGTGATTTCACATTTTAACATTACATTTTCATTTTTATTTTTTTAACTTTTTTATTTTTAAAAGGGAGCAAATTTCATGTAGTTCATATATACAGTTTTAAGAGCATAATGATACTTCTCACCTTACCCTTCCTCTCTTTTTCCCACATTCCCTTCTCCTTTCCTTTTTAGTTTTTCTTTTAATTTTTATGATGTCGTATTTTCAGTTTACTTTATAATCACAAACTTAACCAACCACTAAATAAAAAATTCAACAGGTAGTAAATGGAAAAACCACTGTTCCTCAGAAGTATAGACAAGGGCTGTAAAAATTAATCAAAGCTCAAAAAATCAATATCATTCCTATACATTACATTTTTGTACTCTGTATATTACCACAAATCAGAGGAAACATGATATTTGTCTTGTTGGAACTGGCTTATTTCACTAAGTGTAATGGTCTGTGGTTGCATGTATTTTGTTGCCCAAGACAGATCTCATATTTTTTACGGCTGAGTAGTATATATATACGCACATACAATCATCAGTTAATGGACATCTGAGTTGAATTCCTATCTTAGTTGTTGTGAGTTGAACTGCTTTAACATGGAGTTACAGATGACTCTTTCGTATGCTGATTTCATTTAGAAGTTGTCTGTCTCAGGAAAAAGTTAATCACCAGTCAAGAATAACTCCATCTTTCTTTCCTTCTCTTAAGAAAGTAAGAAAAAAAGAAAGAAAGAAAGAAAGGGAGGGAGATAGGAAATTATATCTATGAACTACCTGGAATTTGTTTTCTTTGTATTAATATCATATTAACGTGAAACTTGATGAGAATTGTGTTTTAGTAATTATGCATTTTGTGTGACTTTGAGAATCTAATGTATTAACAAATTCATTTTAAAATTAATTTAAAAATTCAAAAAAATATGAAAGAACAACTCCAAAAATATTTAGTGTGTATAGTAAATCCTTTACTTTGATATGAGCAAATATATAAATTATGCATTAATGGAAAATCAGGTTCTCTGTTTCTGCCTGGCAGATGCCCAGCACATATTTAAAGAGTATCAATTTTGGGATTGCTGTTGTGGCGTAGCAGGTAAAGCCACCGCCTGCAGTGCTGGCATCCCATATGGGTGCCAATTCAAGTCTGAGCTGCTCCACTGCTGATCCAGCTCTCTGCTATGGCCTGGGAAAGCAGTAGATGACCTGAATCCTTGGGCCCCTGTACCCATGTGGGAAACCCAAAAGAAGCTCCTGGCTCCTGGCTTCGGATGAGCACAGCTCTGACTGTTGCGGCCATTTGGGGAGTGTACTAGCAGATGGAAGACTTTCTCTTCTCTCTCTCTCTCTCTGGCTCTACCTTTCAAATAAATAAATATATCTTTTAAAAAAATAAAGAGTATCAGTTTTAAAAGTCTCAAAATAATACCCAGGGCATTCTTCTGAGATCTAGAAAGGTGATGAAAGTGTTAATCTAGCTGACCGGTCATATCATATGTAGATCACAAATCCCATTGTGGTCATTTGTATTTTACCCACTTGGCAAGTCAGCAGACTGTAATCATTTATTTTTGATTGCTATAGATATACTGCTAATATTTAACACTTGTGAATGCCAAAGTTTCCCTAATTAAGTATACCTATAGTGACTCCCGTAACACATTATTTCATTATTCTGTTTGACTCTTAGCTGACTTACTCTTTCACTAGGATCTCTTCCACCTTGACCATTAGAGAATTTGTCTTTTGTCTACATGCTCATTTCAGAGAACAAGAGGAAAACATAATGTATTGTCAACTCGTCCCAAAATGAAGACGAGTGTGTTTTTATTCTCATTGCTTTTGTTTATACACTTCAAATGATTGGTTTTATTTTCATGCCTATGCTATTCACTTCTTGGCTCAGCCAGATCATAGATTTGAGCTATTTCTGTAAGTCTGGCCTGTCTAGGAGTACAGCAGGCATGCAGTTGGCCCTGAGGTGGTTTCCTGGTTCCTTGGTCCCTGAGCAACAGGACAGGGTTCAGTCAGGTGACTTGTTTTCCAAACACCTTAATGACAGGTCTATTCTAAAGGTTAACAAATTATGAAAAGAAATTTGGGCTGACAAATTTTTGCATGTGAGGTAAGGACAGTGATTGTTTGCCATCGATTTCTATAAGAAAATATAAATTTTCCCCACCAAAATGTGGCAAGGTCATTATTGCAGAGTAAAGAGCAGTCTTTCCAATAAAAGGATAATGATTTCATTTGATAGTGATATGATCACATTTTCATTTGCAGCGGAATTTGGAGAAGCCTCAAAGGATGAGCATTCCCTGCATGGTGGAATGTGTGGTTAACTGCCAGCTAACTGGGTGGACGGCTTGGACAGAGTGTTCACAGACCTGTGGCCAAGAAGGTATTTGGGTTCCTTCTGTTTGTTCTATATAAATAGATTCCTTTTTAAATGTGCCAGTGGGTTCATACATGGATAGCATAAGTAACTGTAGCCAACTGAAAGTAACAAGACACTGACCTGGAGGGGAAAAGAGGACAGGTTCTAGCAGAGGTAAGCAGGGACTGCAGGACCAGGACTGACCTGAAAACAACCATGGACTCAAAGGAGCTGCTGAGCCCGAGCACATGTTTATTTAGAAGGCCATAAGCCAACAGGTTAAAAAAATACGTTGATTTTGGAGACTATGTTTATAAAAGTAATGCTGGCTACTCTACCAGTAAGTCCCCAAAGCACGGTGGCTGAACACAGTATAAAGACGGGTTTTTCATTCACGTCAAGACAGGAATAGTTTCTGCTTCACATTCAATGGAGGTCACTGGTTGATGAAGATCTGACACTTTAGAATCACTAAGTTTCTCTGCATGATGAAATCAGCTGCCTCTGTAGATGTTTGCTTTCCTATGGACTGAGTGGGACGTGGGACCTATCCCATATACATTCTGTTAGACAAAATCTATTCCCATGTCTCCAACTCAGTACAAGGTGGCAGGAAAGGAAGTCTAATTTCTTCGTGGCCACTATTCTACAACAGTGTTACAGGATGTGGGAAAGGAAGTATGGCATTTTGGGGAATGGATAGCAGGCACTTCCACACGGTCCCAGGATCCCACTGGGTAGGAAATGCACAGGAGCAAGGAATGCAGAAGTCAGTGGCTACTCCAGACAAATGCAAGGCTCAGGTAAGAACCAAGACATGTGTCTAAAGGAGAGCAATAAGACCATAGCAGGAAGCCCTGGAGCTGGTTAGGATAGAACTCTGATCTGAGAGAGAGTTACAGTTTATCACCAGATAAGTGTCATGAATCTGGTGTATAAGCCTAGTGCAAAATAATAGAATATGAGTAGGCAATTAGCCGGGGAGATGGGAATACTCAGCTAGTCAAAGGGGTTACAAAGACCTAGATCTAATGGCCAACCAAAGATATCTGGAAATAGTTTTCTAGAAATCCCAAGACTTGACCAGAGGAGTATGAACTCATTTTTAAGTTACCCACAAATGAGTCCACTGAGGTCACTGATAATTCTTAGTCTTTGTTTAAAGAAATATTTATTTGAAAGTCAGAGTTACACAGAGAAAGGAGAGGCACACACAGAGAGAGAGAGAGGTCTTCCATCTGATGGTTCACTCCCCAGTTGGCTGCAACAGCCAGAGCTGTGCTGATCTGAAGCCAGGAGCCAGGAGCTTCTTCTGGGTCTCCCATGTGGGTGCAGAGGCCCAAGGAGTTGGGCCATCTTCTACTGCTTTTTTGGCCATAGCAGAGAGCTGGATCAAAAGTGGAGCAGCCAGGTCTTGAACTGGCATCCATATGGGATGCCGGTACTTGAGGCCAGGGTATTAATCCACTGTGCCACAGCACTGGGCACAATAATTCTTAGTCTTAATCAAAATTATGTGAAGAACTAAGCAGGGCTGCACATGGAAAAGCGGCTCATCTGTGAATTCACCCATAAGAGCCTAGAGAGGACAGAGCTAAAAGTAGTAGCCAGGAAGTATATTTTGGAGTATCTGACTATAGGAAATCGACACCTACTTGTGCAAAAGCATGGCTTACAAGGAAAACATAGGAATCCAAAATCTATTAATAATGTGCCATTTCCTGCACCCATAAAAGCAATGAATCTCAGAAAAGTAAATGGTAGAGCTTAGGACTTGTAGTTCAGTGATTGACCTATAGTTCCTTGGCTATTCTGAGAGGTGGTGTGATATATATGCCAGTGGGGTTGTCACTCTATGGATGGATAAATTTGAGTACAAATTTCAGTTATTTAATCAAGTAAAAGTTGATCTTTCTTAGTCTCATGGTGTTATCTATGAATTAAAATTCATGCACATGCTGAAGACTTTGTTTTTTGTTTGAGAAATCAATGATATAAAAATATGGGAGGATACAGGGCATTAGGATTGAGCCATCCTGGACATGTAGTGTATATTAATTTCCAATTCCAGCTCTGTAACTACCTGGAGTGTACAGGATTATCAGACTTCCAAAGATCTTTTAAAGATTCTTCTATACACTCTGTCACCCTCATCTACCAGTTTAAAATCTTTCTGCCCCTCCATATCCATTACCCTCTACTGCCCTGGGGGATCCAGTTAGTTCCAGTATTAGTCATACCCTCGATTGCATCATGCTTCGTTCTACCCTGGAAATTTTCCTCACATAGAACATCTACGTTTACCCCTCTACCGCCTCCTATGACTTGTATCATACATAAATTAAATTAATTATAATATATGTCTTCCTACAGAGTCAGCAGCCCTGGTAAGATTGCTCATGGGTGCATCTCCCGAGTTCTGATGAACACAGTACTTACCACACTGCAAGAATTTCAGCTAATATTTGCTGCTGTCCAGGTGGTTCTGGACTATCGGGGGAAAGTTCAAAGGAAAAGAGCTTACAGGCTAGGCTGTGAGCTCAAAGTCAGCCAGCTCTTGCTCCTCGCTTTTCCCTCTCTACCTAGATAGTTAAGTTCCTAGAGCCCATCAACAAAGAAGTTATTCTGTCAAGGAGACAGAAAATATGTTTGTTACTATTTTTTATGTTTGCTTATGATTTTTATTAAAGCTATCTTTTATAATTGCCCCATATACGACTGTGTTCTATAGTTTTATATTGTGGATAAACAAATACTGAGTTTGTGTTCAAATGACCCCTTCACTTGTTTGTTTGTTTGTTTTTTTCCCAGATACCTTTTATTTGAGGAATACAAACCTCATGAATTTCCAGCCTACCCACCCTCCCACCCCTCTTCCTCCTCACTCTCTTATTCCCATTGTTATTTTTTATTAAGATTTATTTTCTTTTTTTCTTTTGAAGATTTTTATTTATTTATTTGACAGGTAGAGTTATAGACAGTGAGAGAGAGAGAGAGAGACAGAGAGAAAGGTCTTCCTTTTTCCGTTGGCTCACCCCCACCAAGTGGCCGCTACGGCTAGCACATTGTGGCCGGTGCACTGTGCTGATCCAAAGCCAGGAGCCAGTCTCTCCTGGTCTCCCATGCGGGTGCAGGGTCCAAAGACCTGGACCATCCTCCACTGCACTCCCAGGCCACAGCAGAGAGCTGGACTGGAAGAGGAGCAATCGGGACAGAATCTGGCGCCCCAACTGGGACTAGAATCCAGAGTACCAGTGCCGCAGGTGGAGGATTAGCCTAGTGAGCCGCGGCACCGGCTAGATCTATTTTCAATTAACTTTATACACATGTGATTAACTCTGTACTAAGAAAAGAGTTAAATAAATTGTATGGAAAAAAACTGCTTTTCAACACTTAAGGGCTGCTCAAAATCATTGCATCTCAAGGTGTTAATTTCATTTCTATAGATTACCTTCTAGGTGCTTTGTTAGTTATCACAGATCAGGGAGAAGATATGGTATTTATCCTTTTGGGAATGGCTTATTTCACTAAGTACTATGTTTTCTAATTGCATTCATTTTGTTGCAAATGACAGGATATCTTTTTTTCTTTATTGCCATTTAGTATTACATGGTGACTGGAGTTTTGGGTTGATCCCTTAGCTATTGTGAATTGAGCTGCAATAAACATGATTTCACTTCCCTTGGGTAAATTCAGATTTCTGAGGTAACTTCATACTGTCCTCCACAGGGAGGACATTCTGTCAGTTGCTGCTTCACTTTGCTGGCTGTTTCTTTTGCAGTGCAGAAGCTACTCATTTTGATCTAATTCCATTTGTCCATATTGACTTTGATTGCCTATGCCTTTGGGGTCTTTTCCAAGAACTCTTTGCCTATACCAATGTCTTGCAGGGTTCCCTAGTGTTCTCTAATTATTTGATGGTATTGGTTCCCATAGAATTGGGTCTTGAATCCATTTTGAGTGGATTTTTGAATAAGGTATAAGGCAGGGGTTTTGCTTTAGATTTCTGCATGTGGTGATCCAGTATTCCTAGCACCATTTGTTGAAGAGATGGTTCTTGCTCCATGGATTGAATTTAGCTCCTTTGTCAAATATAAGTTGGTTATAGATTAATGGATTGATTTCTAGTGTTTCAATCCTGTTTCATTGGTCTGTCCATCTGTTTTTGTATCAGTACCAGCCTGTTGGGATTATAACATCCCTGTAGTATGTCTTGGAATCTGGTATTGTGATGTCTCTGGCTTTGTTTTTGTTGTGTAAGATTGCTTTAGCAATTCGGGGTCTCCTGTGTTTCCATATGAATTTCTGCTTATTTTTTCTATATCTGAGAATGTTCTTGGTATTTTGACTGGTATCACATTGAATGTATACAGTACTTTTGGTAGTATGGACATTTTGATATTGATTATTCCAATCCGTGAACATGGAAGAGTTTTCCATTTTTTGTGTCTTCTACTTCTTTCTTTCATGTTTTTTTTTTTTTTTTTTTAATTCTCATAGTGCTCTTTGATTTCTTTTGTTAAATTTATTCCAAGGATTTGATTTTTTTGGAGCTATTGTGAATGGGACTGATCTTAAAATGTCTTTCTCAGCCATGGCATCCTCTCTGATACAAAGGCTTTTGATTTTTGTGTATTGATTTTATATCCTTCCACTTTACCAAACTCTTCTATGAGTTCCAATAGTCTCTTAGTGGAGTCATTTTTATCTCCTATATATAGAGTTGTGTCATCTGCAGATAGAGATAGTTTGACTTCCTCCTTCTCAGGCAGTGGTGAGAGTGGGCATCCTCATCTGGTTCTGGAGCTCAGTGGGAATGCTTCCAACTTTTCCCCATTCCATAGAATGCCGCCTGTGGGTTTGTCATAAATTACCTTTATTGTTTTGAGAAATATTCTCCTACACCCAAGTTGCTTACAGTTTTCATCGTGAAGGAGTGTTACATTTTATCAAATGCTTTCTCTGAATCTATTGAGACAATCATATGCTTTTAGATCTTCAATTTGGTAATGTGATGTATCACA